AGGGATCCGAACCCGTGGCCTTGGTGTTATCAGCACCACACTCTCCCAAGTGAGCCATGGGCCGGCCCTCACACTCTTTTATATAATTGCTTTTTAAATCAGTTAAGATAAAAAAGGAGAAAAAACATTTATACTGTCTTTTATAATTACAGCTTTTCTTTTTAAACAGTAAAATAGCCACAGATATAGGATATTACACAAACATCACAGTCTTGACCACACTGTGGTGTGCCAAGTACAGTCCTGCTCACTGTCCTAAACAACAACTTGTTTAATTCTTGCAACAACCCTCAGAATTAGTTGTAGCTAGCTCCATTTTATAGGTGGAAGCATTGAGACTCGGAAAGGTACTCTGGGACACATGGATGGTAAGAAACTAAGTCAGCTTGGGACCCACATCTGTCAGACTCAGATCAATGTTCATTCCACACCATTGCTTCTTTTCCTTTTATTCAACCAAGAAACTTAGGAATGTTCTCAAGAAAGCTCTGCCAGGAGACTCAGTAAAATAATACCCTGGCTTTCTGAGAACTGATTCTTACCCTTAAGATAATGTTGCACCAGGACCACCTGGCTGACCTGCCCATTCAACATCTCCTGTGCCCCATGTGACCATTGGATAGGGCTCGCATGGTTCCTGGGCACCTCACTAAGGTGCCTGGTCTGACACAACTGCTTCCCATATGGGCCAGGTGAAAAGTTGTTTCTTCCCCAGGGAGAGGTGGCAGGAGTAGAGCCAGCTGTTGGCAGGACTAGTCCTTAAGGCCCACACAGAACTGGCCATGGAGCTGCACAACTGGGTGAGTGAGTATATGTGTGGGTGGCCCCCAGTCCTAGCAGGTGGACCCACAGTCTTGTCTGCCTTCTCCACCGCCTCCTTCCCTTGTCCTCCACCCCACAGCTTGTCCTGTGCTTTAATTGTCCTGAAGAAAGCTGTAATTACAAAAGACAGTATAAATGCTTTTTCTCCTTTTTTATCTTAACTGATTTAAAAAGCAATTATATGAAAGAATGTGTATGTAGTGTCATTATTGACACACTCCAGGGTACTTGGTGCATGTAACTAAGCCAACTTCGTCAGAGCCTAGGCAGCAGAAGCAAGCAGCTCCCTCACCTCCCCCAGCCTGGGCTCCATACTCCTATTGATGGAGCCGCAGCCCACAGGCAAGCCTGGCAGAATGGGAAAGTGAGGAGAGGAAGGCGGTCACAGAGAGGGATGTAGTCCAGGCCAGATGGAGCTGTTGGTATTCCCTGTTTCCCTGGTCCTGCCCTTCCTGTCTTCCCATCTCTGCCCTTTTAAACCCCACACTGTGAACTTTCCATTACTGTTCATTAAGATATACATCCATATGTGTGTATACGTGTGTGTGTCTATATATATATATATATATAGAGAGAGAGAGAGAGAGAGAGAGAGAGAGAAAATACAGAAAGATTTACAAAAAAGAAAAGAAACTGAAGGTCACTGATGACCCTGCAGCCCTAGACTAACCACAGACACCATTTTGGCATCAGTCCTGCCTGTTACTTTAGACATCTTTGGAGCATTTTGATGTGTACTTTCAGTCATATCCAACATGCAGTTACAAATTCTACCTGATCTGAACCTGTGACCTTGGTCAAATTCTACCTTCTTCAAATTATGGAACCACATCAGCCTTTTCTCAAGTACTAGTGACAATAGCTAAGGCAATGGGCCTTATCATGTTTAAAGTGCTTTTACATACATTAACCCATTTAACTCTCACTACAACTCGTGAGATAAATACTATTAGTATGCTGATTTTACAGGTGGAGAAACTGAGGTTCGAAGAAGTTAAGTGATTTGCCCACGGTTACAAGGCTGGTAAGTAGCAGTTCTGGGATTCAAACCCAGGCAGCCTGGCTCAGAACCACCACACTAAGCTGTCTGCTACTATAGACTCTTGCGGAACATGCTGCTTCCGACTCTGTGGTATATGCCATATTCTGTAGATATAACATCCCTTCTTACTCACCCCTTCCAGCTGTGTTGGAGTGAGGTCTTTCTCAACAAAGCTGTAGGATACTCATCCTGTAAACAATTTTTTGTGTGTTCTGGATGATCTCCCAGACCAAATTTCTCGGTCAAAGGATGCAGGCAATTTTAAGGCTCTTGCTCCATGTTGTTCAATAACTTTAGAAAAACCTGCACTCACATATCTACCATCAGAAGATGAAGATACCTACTTTGCCAACAGTGAGGGTGTAACAGGGAGGGGACATTTATGCATCATTAAGACCCCTGGATATAGTGGGCATGAAGTCTCCAAGCCACATCAACAGATGAGAATTTCCTATAAAATGGTCTGCGAACCATTTCCACAATTCCTGGGCCCCTCAGCCATTCAAGTCTTGAAAAGAAATTAGAGTGTTTTGTGGGGAGGAGTTAGGGGAGAGATTTTCTTTGTAGAGAGCTGTCCCCTCACTGTGAATTCTCACCCCACTTCCCTCTCCTCAAGCCTGTGGGCATCTTTCTCACCAGTAGTGCTGCCCACCATGAGGAGGCGCAGCCAACCAGAGCCTGACCCCCCCAAAGGGAATATCATTCCCCACCACAGTGAGTGGGGTAGAGGGAGCTGCAATGGGGTGGGCCATACCCCTGCTGTGTCAGGGCAAGGGATCTTGGAGGGTTGCCGATGTAGACCCTGTAGGATGGATGGCAGGAGGTCACCTCAGGTCTGTCTCGGGCCTTCCTTAGAGAGGCATAGAGCCCAGGAAGCAGTGATTAAGCAGTAAATGCCATATTCGTCGGGACCAAGGAATGGTCACGAGGATGGGAACTGTGGGAGAGGGGTCTCATGTAAAGGGCTTCTCTTAAGAACCCATAAAATTGACCATGCGAGAAGGAGTACGCTGTAAACATCTGCCAGGCCTACAGAGCAAGAGATGGTGGGTGGGTCAAGTAAGGACTGCCCTGCCTTTCCCCCTCCACAGCATGGAAGCCCATCAGACCCCCTTTTCCCACAGGTGGGCCAGGACTACAGGCCTCGGTGGAAGACAGGTAGGGGAACAGTCTTAGAGTCTTTGAATGATGGAACTGCCTTCTTTCCCTCCATTCCCCACTCTTGCTCCTGTGGTTCCAAATTTCAAACAGGGTCTTCCTTTGCCTGGCCAACTCCTCCTCATCCTTTACTTAGAAGATTGGATCTTTGCCAGGGCACCTTCTCACCACCCAGCCCTGGGCTCACCAGGTGCCCTTCTGGCCTCCACATCATAGCTGCTTCCAGGTCCAGCTCCCCTGACTGGGCTGTGAGCCTGTGAGGGCAGTGACCACATTAATTTCCTGTACCTGGCATGGGGCCTGCCACTCCATGACAATCCTGGCTGAGAGAGTCAGGATGTGCAAGGGAGGGCAGGGACATGACGGTAGAAGAGGCTGGATAAAGCTGAGGGGAGCAGAGAGGATGAGGCCCTTAAAATCCAAA